CAAGTGCTGCCCGCCCATCCGCGAGCAGTCCAACCAAGACAAGCTCTGGGATGAGCTCACTGCCGGCGAAGACAGCTGCATCCGCACCGTCGTTTCTGACCACAGCCCCTGCACCCCCGAGCTCAAGCTGCTGCCCGACCACTTGGCCGTCCAGCCCGAGCAAAACACCATGCTCCGCCGCCCCAGCCTCCGCTTCACCGACTCCGGCATCGACGTCACCCTCCCCGAGGAGAAGCCCGATCACAAGACCGACTGCTGTGGCGAGCACGAACACGCTGCCGAGCTGGCCCACGTCCACCAGGACGCCCTTGCCGGTCCCCAAGGTCAAGGCGACTTCTTCGCTGCTTGGGGCGGCATCTCCTCCGTCGGTCTCGGTCTGCCTATCCTCTACACCACCGCCACCAAGCGCGCCGCTCCTTTGTCAATTGTTGACATCGTCCGGCTATGCTGCCAGGCCACGGCCAAGCAGGTTGGTCTCTCTCACCGCAAGGGCGGGTTGAAGGTCGGCATGGACGGCGATGTGTGCGTCTTCGATGATGAGGAGGAGTGGGTGTTGAGGGCGGGCGACATGAAGTGGAAGAACAAGTGCAGTCCTTGGGAGGGCCACCAGTTCAAGGGCCGCGTGAAGGAGACGTGGTTGAGAGGCAAGAAGGTGTATCAGCTTGGTGGTGGCAACGGTGGTTTCGTGAGTGTGAAGCCCATTGGTGAGGCTATTACTGAGAGGAGGGTGTTGTAGATGAGTGGGTAGGAAAAGGAAGGATGAAAGATGAGGGATGAAGACTTGCATTGTATTCTGTTAGCATTTCTCTTTTTTCTTTTCTGGGTTTGGGTATGAAAGCATTTTATAAGGGGTGTCTGGTTAGCTGGTCATGAATGGTTCCTGGGATTTTTAGCGAGTTTCGCGGTTATCATATACCACTGAATTGATTTGAGGCGTTTATGAAGCGCTTCTTTAATCGTTAACGTTTTTCTTCCATGTTGCTCGTGATGACCCGTGATTATGTTAGGAAGAAATGGTCGATGCGATGCTTTGGCGTTTCCTGGATCGCTGCTTCGGACACTAAGGCGAGGTCCAAAGTCGAGACATGGTCCATGGACGATGCAGTTGTGAAAACTCGACGAACGCCGCTTGGTTGCTTTCATTGATGATGGTGGGTAAAACCGATTAGACCATCCCGATGTCAATGTCGTGATTGATTTCGAAAAAAAATATGTGTGATCATCGTGCTTGCCCAAATGGTTGACGACTTGACGTTCGTTCTTTCCCCAACTCCCACGTCCTATAAACAACAGTAAGAGGTACGACCCCGTGACCCCCCGCCAAATCACTTCCTGGGCCCTTCCATTCAGGTTTGTGAAACATGGAGTTCCAGGTTCTTTTGGTTTTGATAGGATGAGAGAGGAGGGGAGGGGGGTCCGGAATCACATGATCTCAACCTTTTGATACTGTAGAGGTAATTGGCGACTTCATCTCGAGCTTGGCGACTGACTACCTACCATACCTACCCTTAGCTACCTACCTACTTCTCGTAGCACGTACCGAATTCCTCAGTTCCTCTGGCAGGTCTTCGTTGCAAATCATCCATGTCCACGCGGCAGTAGGCTGTATGGGTTAAAAGTCTACCCTGCTAGGACATTCATTCAGTGGCTGTCGATGAGCATTCAGTCATAACATATATTACGGACGTCGCTGTTGTCGAAAACATGTTAACCCAGCCACCGGCGGCTGTGCATTTTCAGGACCAGACCAGATGGATGTCCCGAGTTTGTCTAGCAGATCTGGTTTAGGTACGGTATTTCCTATGACTTGCGAGCTAGCTCATTCATCTCCAAGTACATAGAAACCGCATGAGTGCTGGGTAGGTACGGTAGGTGAGGTAGGTACAGTGTGAGTGGTCTGGTGCCGTGTTCAGTTCTTTCCTCTTTGTCCTACTTGAGCATCGTTTCAGAATCTGTTGATCTTTTTTTGATGAATAGAAACATCAGAAAGCGGGGTTTGGTTTTTGTTTTTATTCGAAACATTGTCTCTTGTTGGTCGGACTTGGGGGTCGGTGAGTCGCCGGTCAAAAGAGTTGTTGGCCTGATACCAGCGTTGAGTGCTATCGGTATATGGATAGTGGTCTTTTCTTGTTTTGAAGATCTGATATTCCATTTGATTTGTCCGCTGTCCGCTGTTTCTTATCACATACAGGTAGGTATGATGTTCGTCCATACGGCGATGATGAGCTGCTGGTTGACGTAAAACTACCAAAAGTAGAAATGGAATGTAAAACGACATCATACCTTACCTTCCTTCTTATCTTATTACCTAACACCGAGCGATCATCAGTGCTGCCCCAGATTTGTTACACCCAAACAGACAAACCTGGCCATGTTCACGTCGTCGTGAGTTTTATTCAGTATATAACCAGGGGATGAATGATGAATGGATGAATGAATGGCTGAATGGCTGAATGGAAACCCGAGAGTCCCAAACTCCTACAATCCCAATCCCCGTCTCCGTCTCCCGTGCGGTCTCCGCTCGCTCAGCGGGCAGCGCTTTAAATGAGATGTGGGGGCAGCGGGTGGGAACGTGGCTTTGCGTGGCAGCGCGGGCACTCGTTGCGATGCGATGCGATATGCGATCCCTTGCGACTGTCTGGGACTGCCTGGGACTGCAAGGGAACCACAATAGGTTGACTGGTTGTGCATGCACCAAATGTGAAGCGATTGAATGATCGGTCACCGGGATTTTTGGAAAATACCGAGGGGGAATTGAGGTTTAGCATGGGATGGGGTTGAATCTCGTTCAAAGTCTTGGGTTCGGTTATTGTTGGGGACGATGACACCGACTCAGAAAGGGCAGGTATCCAGTCTGGATAGGGGTTCCTGATGGCGAAAACTCCAAACGGGATCTTCGGTCAGAGTTTTCCTTTCGCTCTGGCTGCTGTCTTAGATGAGTAGTGTAGTGTACCTAGCCGAGGTGGGTTTTGTGTTCTCGTGTGCTTCGTTGTGTGTTTGAGATGTTCTTCTCACGGGTTTTGCCGTTCGGGTCGGGCAGTAGGTAATGGAGACCAATTGGCCCATCAATGATGAGAGCTGAAAAAAATAAGAGAAGTTTTCTCAGAGAAGAGGGATTCGATATCAAAACCCAGCAGACTGGAAAGGCAATGCAACAAAAGTAAACAAAGCTCGTATAAAAATTGTGCAAACTCTAAAAATAAGTTGCTTGTTGGAGTTTATGTTTGGTAGCTGCCACTGCGGTGCGTGGATGGGGAGATGCCCCAGGAAGAGCGCCAAGCCATTCCATATTCCCACTTTTTATCCAGTCGTTTGTTCGGCAATCATTTGTTTGGATTTTCCATGCTGTGCCCTCCAAATCCCCGACGCTCTCTCTCCACTGGCCTGTTACAGCATTCAGTGGCAGACTGCAGTGGTGGCTTGGAGATTTCTTGGGATGTCTTGGCCTTGTTCCCCTGGCAAAGCTGGAGGCTGTCACTGGCTGCCACTGGCTGCAGTAGGCTAGCCGTGTTGCCGTAGATCCGTGGACCGTTCTTGCATCGTTCCTCGCTTGCAAGTCCACTCTGGAGTGCAGCCTCAAGTCCACCAGGTGTCTCCGCCTGTTCCAGGTCCCAGTTACTGTGTCACTGTCGCCTCGCAGTTGCAGTCTCGTCAGCTCGGCTGCGTGTGATTCTTGGTGTGCGACCCCCAAACCGCTGTATTCCAGTTCCAGGCCAGGGCAATTCCGCATCGCATCGCATCGCCATCTTTCCTGTCGGCCTTCCTGTTCAGTCTTGCAACTGCGCGACAAAAAAGATAGGACTGGCGCAGCAGTAGCAACAACAACTGGAACGACAACACCAACACCACCGGGGAATCCCTTCGTTGCTCTGTTCCCACTCATCACTATTGTGCCGAAATCAAGGGTCCTCCCATTGGAAACACTCATTTTCTCTCTTGTCTCTTTTTTCTCATCTTTCTTTCTCTCGCGGAATTCATCTTCCTTGCAGGTCCACATCGCTCTTACTCTTCTGACCCGTTTTGTCCGCCTTTTTGTCACTGCCGCCTGCGTATTGCGCGACATTCCACTTTTGTCCTTGTCCCGTCTGTGTCGCACTCACTGCCGCTGTACACCGATCTGAAGCACTCACTCACTTTGTGGGAAACTCATCCACGGCACATACACTCATGCTGTTGAACGAAACGAGCATACGACCTAACGATACTAATAACACACGACTTTGATATCACACATCATCATCATCATCATCATCATCTTTGAGCCGTCTCATTACTACCTTTTACTAGGTAGTCAGGCACTCAGGCCAAGCTCGACCCTTGTCGCTTCCCTTCTCGCTTTCCGTTGATAGTCCGGAGTGCGTAGTGCCAAGGCCAAGCATTTCTGTTGCCCTGCCCTGGCTGAGGTGCTTCTCCGACTTCCCCTAGGAACGAACCAAAGTGGCCGTCGCTGCTGGTTCGTCACTGTCGGCAGCACGCACCCAGCCCCAGACAGTCCGCCGCCAACGGCCAGCCAGCCAGCAACAACCACACTGCACACCCACGGCAATCCTCCCAGCCTCCAATCCTGCTTACCACCACCACCCGCTTCAACGTCGGGGCAGCCAAGCTGCACAACACACACACGCACAACACCAACAACCACTCGATTCCAACCCGACGCAATTGTCTTCCGCCGTTTCTCGTCATTTCCTGTCTCGCTTCCTTTCCTATCTGCCATATCCATCATCTTAATTCGACCCCCTTTCTCGATCCCGAACGGGCCCGACCGTGAACAGCGCCAATCTCGGAAAACCCCTTAACCGACTTGGTCAACAATCAACAATCAACAATCAACAATCAATCTGTCCCCGGGTTGGCACGCTGTTGGCAGTTGGCATCGTAGACCTCTCTCTCGCCGTCGAAGCATGTGCGCCGCCATCGCCAGCCGACAATAATACCGAAACATCGCTCACCGAGTAGCCATTAGCTGCCCAGTTTCCGGGTGCCATTATCCACCCGCGATGCCCTCCTTCGTACCCGACGAAAACTCGCCAATCTACCAGCGTTCCCCCGCCGTCGTACATCTCAACCCTGCCGGCCAATACGGGCAACCAAACGGCAAGGTCGATGACCACCCGCTTCCTCGTCACTCGCATTCTCACACCTCAATCGAGAGCTTCGACGACGAGGGTTCGAGCCAATCGACACACACTTCCACAGACGACTCGGACATCAGGACACGCTTGAATGGGGACAGCCAGCGACGACATCCCAACATGACCTCTTCGCTAAATGGAGGTCTGGATGGCGATGTAGATGGGATCAATAGGAAACTAGATCGGATGAACTTGAACGGGACCAACAGGGCCGACGGGAGCGACAGGCCGGCCAGACATGATATCACGAAAAGCGGGAAGCCGCATCCAAACGGCAGGTTCCCCATCGCCATACCGGACCGGACAGTCCCGTTGTCGAACTCGGCTCGTCCAACTCCGGACGGTCAAACGACACACGACCAAAAGGGTGCCTTCTCGCGCGGCTCCCCGGGCTCTGCCAACAGCGTTTCAATTCATCCATCACCGACCGAGATGTCCTTGCGTCCTATCAACAGGGGAGATGTTCGCACCGTCGAGAATGGGGCGGCCACGCCTCCCGCCCAACAGACTCCCAATGGATACCCTTTCCCATCATCACCGCCAGCTCAGCAGCGCGATTTGGCACCCAACAGCCCTCCTTCACCGCATCGTTACTCGTCGCCGCCCTTGTACAACCCTGCAGCACCCATCTCAGCCTCCACCAGTGCCCTCGCACCGCCACCCGTTCCCGGTATTAAACAACGTCACACCCTCGACGTTCCCAAACCTTCGGCTCCCCGTGGATCCAAGGACGGCTTCGATGGTACTTACGCAACCGGTCGCTTCTCACCAACTGGCGTTGCTGGCGTGCGTAGGGCGTCGCTGAGTCTTGCTAGAAGAAACACACGATCTCTCCACTCGGAAATGCCTCGTGACGAAGTTGTTCCCGATGACGACGCGTTGCGATGGGCCGAAGTCTACAGGGAGAAACGGGCCAGCAAGAGGAGGAGGAGAGATGCCGAAGACGACGACCGGGTCTTGGTTGGCACCAAGGTCGACGAGACGCATGCCAATTGGGTCACGGCATACAACATGCTTACCGGCATTCGAGTTTCTGTATCGCGAACAAATGCCAAGCTTGACCGTCCGTTGACGGACGCTGACTTCCAGGCAAAGCAAAAATCCACCTTTGACATGTAAGCATTTCATCATCCTTTCTCTCGCATAACATGGTACCTAACCCCCTAGCAAAAGAGCCGGAAACGAGATGATTCCCTCTGCCAAGTATGACTTCAAGTTTAAGGATTACGCGCCTTGGGTTTTCCGACAACTCCGCGCACGCTTCCAGCTGGATCCAGCAGACTACCTCATGTCACTGACGGGCAAGTATATACTATCCGAACTTGGTTCCCCCGGCAAGAGCGGCAGTTTCTTCTACTTCTCTCGCGATTACAAGTACATCATCAAGACCATTCACCATGCTGAGCACAAGTTCCTTCGCAAGATCCTTAAGGATTATTACGAGCATGTTACCGAAAACCCCAACACCCTTCTCTCGCAATTCTACGGTCTGCACCGGGTCAAGATGCCCGGCCCGTACGGCAAGAAGATTCACTTTGTCGTCATGAACAACCTCTTCCCTCCGCACCGGGACATCCACCAGACCTACGATTTGAAGGGTTCAACAATTGGTCGCGACTACAAAGGCGAAGATCTCGACAATCCAAAGGCAACTCTAAAAGACCTCAACTGGCTTCGACGAAACCGACATCTCGAACTCGGACTTCAGAAAAAGAAGCTGTTTTTGGAGCAACTCCAGAAGGATGTGCGGTTGCTGCAGAGGCTAGAAATAATGGATTACTCTCTGCTCGTTGGTATCCATGATCTTCAGAAAGGGAACGAAGAAAACCTGCGGGACAAGACCCTGCGAGTCTTCAACCCTGGCGGTGACAACTCACGCGAGGACCCCAGCTCCGTCTTGATGCGTACCCCCTCTAAGTTGGAGAATGCGCGGAAGGCTAGGGAACTGCGGCAGATGGTTAAAACCGAGCGGCCAGTCCCTATGGGAGAGACGAGCAGCCGGATGCCCGACGAACTTGAGCACAACCAGAGCCGCGCTAGCTTTGTTTTCAACCAGGATGACGGAGGATTCCGTGCCACCCATGAGGACAACACTCCGGCGGACGAGATCTACTACCTCGGAGTGATTGACTGCTTGACACACGTAAGTCCACGTCTATCTGGTCTGTATACTTCTGACAAGTGCTAACGTGATTATAGTACGGAATCATCAAGAAGCTCGAAACCTTCTGGAAGGGCCTGTCAAGCGATCGTAATCAGATCTCCGCCTTACCTCCTCACGAGTACGGCGAGCGGTTCATCAACTTTATTTCCGGCATCACCATGTCTTGTGAAGAAGCAATTCGCCAAGCCCAGGAGCGAGACGCAGAAATGCAAGCAGAGGCAGCCTTGGCCGATCAGCAACAGCAGCGAGTGGGTAGCTGGTCTAGCGCACGCAACGGTCGCTCTTCAACATCAGCACCACCACTCCCTTCGCATCAACCACCACCTCTACCATCAGGTGTTCAGTCACCCGAATCCGAGGCAACTGTGCAGAGGGCGGAGCGCGAGGCGTACACGACTGGCATATCAGAAGAGGACGTACCGAGCAAGACGCTCCGCACGACGCTTTCTCCTGGCAGCATCGAGCGCAGGGACAACATCGCTAGCCAAGCCAGCATCTTACCGGTGGTTGAGGAGGCTGCAGAGGGACGGTCATCCGGCGAACAACATGCGCGCAACACCCGGGTCAGTAACCTGACTGGTGACAGCGAATACCGCCCTCTGACGCCTGCCAAAGATGGCGAGGAGAGACAGGCGGGATTTGGTAATCCGCTCCTGAGGGGTCATGCTCGCGACCACAGAGACTACGGGCCACCACCACCAACACCGCCTAAGACAGGGTATGGATACGGAACACCCCAGTCCCTGAAGGACGGCGCTGATAGCGGGTATAGCATTGGTTTCATGAACGGCAACGGCAACGGCAAATCCGTCGACCTTAAAAGCTCCAGCGGCTCGCTGAGATCAAACAAGGGCGGCCACCAGATCATCGGTCGGGAAAGCCTGGATAAGGCCCTACCCCCGCTTCCCTTCGGCGACGCACAGACTCGGCCCCAAGGCGTGTCATAGGACGGCAACACTATAACGGAGACGAAAAGCACCACAACGGCGTTGGAGCTACAGCTGGAGATGGAGATGGATGGTTCGCCGGATTCCTAGGAGTCACCGACGAAATATTCGCGACAGAAATGGGAGGCGGCGAGACAGAGGTTTCTGCAGGAGGTTATAGACGGAGGAAGAAGTCCCCCAATGGTTGATTACTACAGTTGGCGGACGGATGGACGGACGAGAGAGCGTGGTGGTGTGTGACTCGATACCCTTCAGCGAGTGTGAATAGCAGCGCTATCTTAGGCGTCGTGTTATTTTCCTTTTCTTACTACTTTTTTATGTTGAGGAGGAGGAGGCAGGACAATGGACGGGGAAGGAAGAGAAGGAAGGCAGTAAGGACAAGGAGAAATGGGTTGCTAGTGCCGGATGGAGCCGAGAGAGAGAGTATGAAAAGAAGATGATACGGAAAGAAGACGAAGAAGAAACCTAATCCAACATTTTCCTTTTTAAAACTTCGCAACAACATCAACAAGATCTCTTCTTATCAAATCTCGCTCGCTCGGTCTCACTCTCTGCCTACCTATCCAGTCCTATGTATCCTTTCTCCTTCGTGCTCCCTGGTTGACTGTTTGAGTACATTTGGGGGGTTGAAATCGGCTGAAAAGTAAGGCGAGGAAGAGGAGGAGGAGGCAAAGCAACGACAAGGACGAAACCAACAACAACACCATCAAAACTTTACACAGCAACGCAACATATCATCACACAAACAAACAACTATAAGCCATGATACCACAACCATATTTTACTGTTCGTTTGGCGTTGTCTTTTTTTTTCTTTTTTTTTTTTTCTTTATCAGGAGGGGAAGGGAAGCATCGGGGCGAAAGCATCAGAGCAAGGAGAGGACGGAAGGGAGGAAAGCATTGAATATTTGTTTTTTGTGTTTGTTTTTTTTCTTTAGACACATTGTCAACCTTTTTTATTTTTCTTTTTCATATTACCACCTACCTACCTATCATAACGGGTTTTTCTTATTCTACTTATTCTTTTTCTTTTATTGAGCTTTCTTTTGTTTACGGGTGTGAGTCAGTGGGCGAGTCAGTGAGTGCAGGGAGTTGTCAAGCTAGGTACCGTAGGGACAAGAGGATAAGGGGTGGGAGAGAGAGAGAGGTTGAGGCAGCATGTGGGAGGACTTGAAGACAGGAGGAGACGTGTTCTCAACCCCCTAACAAAATCAGATTAGAGAGAACAGACAGACAGAAAGACAGACACATATATGAAGAATTACAAAGATGTCAATCAATACCAAGCAAGTAAGGTACTTTATTTCACTTCTGCCAAAGTGAGACTGTAAGGGTGATCAATACCCGCTTACTCATTCATTGTGGTTGTTCCTCCGCATTATCCGTACTACTACTTTGTAGATCTAACTCGCTGCGGTCCTCCGACGGACGGGCTCTCTCAAGGTGTCTGTATCTGTATCCGATTCTATCCCATGCCCATACAGCCATCCATCCCTCCATTACTTTACTTTACTTTACTTTACTTTACTTCGCTTTGCTTCATCATCAGAACAGAATCTTTTCGCTCATCCGTCTCGGAATGCTCCCTATTCATGCATGCATGCATCCATCTATCCACGTATCCATCTGCTCTTGTTCTTGCTCCATAGCGTGCGGTGGATGCTTCGTGCCCTATCACGCAGATTTCTCCTCTTCTCTCCGCAAATTAATACCCCAAAACCTAACTACCATACCTCAAGAAACAAACTCCAAAATCAAAACCAAAGACGCCCGACCCAAATGCTAGCTAGGTCCATCCCAAAGAAGAAGACGAAGACGAAAGAGATCTAAACACACATATGTACCTTAGCAAAGCATGTATATGATGACCAACAATACCGCCGACCAGCCAATATCAGCGTAACCTCCTCCTCCTCCTCCTCCTCCTCCTCCTCCTCCTCCTCCTCTTCTTCTTCTTCTTCTTCTTCACCCTCCTTGTTCATGCGCATTATCGTAATTCCTTCCTATTAGTCCTCCTCCTCCTCCTTCTTCCAAGTCCAAGTCCAAGTCCAAGTCCAAATCCAACAACGAACCGCCTCCTTGCTGCCGTCGTCACCGTGCCAGTGCCCTTCTCATTCCAAGACAACGAAAGACAGCGAATATGATGATGACGACATAAAAGATGTCAACAAAGACAAGAAACACCCCCCACCACCACCACCAAACATCATGATGACCACTTCCACTTCCACTTGTCATCCAGAGAAACATCATTGTGAAGACGATGGCCGATGTGGTGGGGTAGCGGGAACAGAGGAGGGAGAAGCGGTGGATAAGTGGTTGTAGGAAGTCTTGTAGGATTATTTGGGTTGATATTGGTGACCATGACCAGGACTTCTAGTCGGATTCGAATAACCATGACTTCTAGTCGGCTTTATGCACCGGGCCCCCTAACCCGCCGGCTTGCGAAACGGTGCTTTGTGATCGGGCGTGTCCCTTTCCGCTTCCACTTCCACTCCCACTTGCGCCGCCGCCGCCGCCGCTGGGGCCAGCGATGGTAGCCATCTCGTAATCCCCTGCTAGATCACCTCTCGATCCCCGCTTTGTTCTCCCCCCTCTTCCACCTGTGATGAAACCTTGTTCTTCATCTCCTAGCCCTCCACCATCTCTTCCGTTCGTATTATTGTTGTTGCTGGCGGCGTTGTTACCATGTCCACCAAAAGCAATAGGCTGCAACTCCCTATACCTACACCCCCACGAGCCGAGCAAAAACGAAGCCAGGCAAGAAATGCCCATGGTCAGCCACCAGGCTGTGTGCCGCGGGAGGGTCCACTCGGGGGTGGTGTAGAGGGTTACGACGACGAGGTGGATGAAGTGCGTGGTGAGTGCGAAGTCGAGGATGAGCTTGGAGCGTTGGACGATGGCTGTTAGGGAGAGGGGTCTGTGTTGGTTCCATGTTAGCAAATCGTCCGGATGGTCGGTTGGAAAGGATGGAAGATGGGAGGAAAGCAGACGAAAGGTAGGAGACAGAGCACACTTACAAAACCAACCCGCCAACCAAACACCAAATAAATCCATTCAACCACCCCTGCGTGTTATCCCCCCTTACCGCCTCCCAGCCGAACACCAAATCCAGTGTGAACGGGTTCCCTGCTACGGCGGCCGTGAAGAACATGAGAATGAAAGCGGCGGCGTAGTAGATTGCTTGTAGCGCGGCAATCTGGCTGAGGATTTTGAGGGGCGGAAGCTCGGTTAGGGCGCCGGAGCGCGGGGGACGGCGGCGGCGGGGCATTGTGGTTGTTGGTTTAAGCTGCGTAGGATATTGTTCTGGGGTGTATGGTAGTTATGGCGTCGGTGGTGTTTATACACGGGTAGAAATTGGTCGTCGAAAGTTGGAACTTGGGGGTTGTCTAGTTCGAAGGTGGTGTTTGAAGGGAGCTTAGTTGGAGCGTGCTCGTTCGGTGTAAAGGACGGGATGCGTCGGTTCGTTGGTGATTCGAGCTTCCTCGTTAGGCCGCAAGTCTTTCGTAGTGTGGTGTATCCCTTTTCGTTCCTCGTAATGATTCCCTCCTAGGATCTAGAAGTCCGCGATATCTTCGCCTGTCTGGCCGGGTAAGGCTGAAAACAATGGTAGAGGTAAAGTAAAAGTCCAAGTTTGCGACCAACAGACGAAAGCCATCATGTCACAGCACAGCAGTTGACAGCCCAGTGTCGCAGTGTCGCAGCTCCATTCATTCCACGGAACAGACAGGGGCAGACCCTGGTCCCTGCGTCCGCCCAGCGGCGCCGCAAGATTACAGGGTTATCAATGGGGTGGAATCCAAAATTACCTAAAAGTCCGGGGGTTTTCACAGCAAACTGAAAGGTGCGTACCAGTACTGGTTGCCTGCCGCGAGACGGATATTCCCAAAGCTCCCGCAATTGACGACGTCCTGGCTTGGCACTGACTGATAGTAGCGGGACAAGACAAGCTCGATAAGCTTCCATCCCAGCTCTCGGCTCGGGAATTAAGCTTCCCAAGTTTCCCTCCGAACAACCATCACAACCATAGCCAACAACTCCAACTTCCCTGCTCCGATCCCGAGTCCACCGCTCTCTCTGAAGCTTCCCCCCCGAAACGAAACCACCGAATAGAACCAGCACCCCCGTACAACAACAAAAATGGTCCTAGGCCTCTTCGAACAATCCGAAGCCGACAAGCGCGCAGCCGAGGTGCGCGCCGGCACCGTTGCGCCCACGCGCTCCGAGCGCCAAAAGTGCTGGATGGCGCGCGACGGCTACTTTGCGTGCCTGGACCGGAACAACATCATCGACGCGCTCAAGGACGAGAAGGCTGCCGCGAAGGCGTGCAAGGCCGAGAGCGCCGAGTTTGAAAAGGATTGCGCTGCTCAGTGGGTGAGTACACTACATACTTTGGCTTTGCGTTGCTTTTAAAGAGGAAGTCTGGGCTGGTTTTGGAGGAACTTGCGACTTTCAAGGTGGAGGTTTGGAGAGGGCAGGGTAAGACAAGACGGGAGAAAAAGGGGGAGAAAGAGGGGGAGAAAGAGGGGGAGAAAGAGAAGAGGAGGAGAATGATGAACAGGAAGGGGGTCAAGCTCAAGATGGCAGGTCTTGAGTACGGGGGTAGATATCCGGGACGATCAAGCAAGGAAGCAGAGCCCATCAACACCTGCAACGAAAGAAAGGAAGAAAGGAAGGGCTCCAAAAGACATCACCCAACAGCCACCGGGAGCAACATGGGGGCAACCAGCCATACTCACGACAGACGGACAAGACAGCAGCGTCCAAACACCTAAACCAGAACACACCCAGCTAACACTCTATCCCCTCTTCAACAGGTCACATACTTTAAGAAGTGGCGCGTCCAAGATATCCAGAAGAGGGCTCGCCTAAAGGAGCTCGAGGCTCAGGGCGCCGTCAAGATGGACGTCAACACCGAGTTCAAGCAGTAAACGATGCTGATCCATCCCAAATTTGTTCGATTCCTCGAGTCACCCCGATGCAGTTCGACCCTATCTCGCCCGTTCACGAGTCGTTATCGACTGTTTGAAAAAAGACTCGGGAAGACGGGGTTGGAAAGAAAAAAAAAAAGGACGACGGTGTAAAGATAGTGTGCTAGTTGGTGTATGTATATATGCATGGGATAAGGCGTTCAATTTTACTTTGTTGGTTATTCAAGAGAGGGAGCGTTTGGTTAAGCCGGATCTCTTCACCGATATGGTTATTTGTGTGGGACGACTGTATAGTGAAGCGATGACGAAGGATGGTCAGGATTAGTGATTGTTGGTATAGGGATGGATGTTTACAAAAGACTATGAAGGTGCGTGCCTCCAATATCCTGGTGCCAGTCTCCAGTCCCCTTCTCAATTTACAATCTGCTTTCTCAGAAGACAGCCACGCATCAAGAGTTCACTAACCAACCGTTAGCTGTCTTCCGATCCATCTTCCGCCTCCTGACTCGATTGTCTGGTAGGTGTATGAATGACCGTCAGGGTCGACCCCGACCGCTGCATCACCCCACCTCCAACCTCATCGTCATTCAATTCCACCTCCTGCCCATTACAGCCAGCCGCGTCGTCTTGCTCAACCTTGGCAAAATACCCAACGTACTCACAATGTGTGCATTCACAGGTAGAGGGTGACGTATCCGAAGGGTTCCCATCGTCAGTCGGGTTTCCGGCGCTCGGGTTTCCATTGGTCGAGTTTTCAGTATTCCGGATAGTGAGTTTGCTGCTTCTTCTTCTTCTTCTTCTTCTTCTTCTCCTCTCCTCCGTCTCCTCCGTCTCCTCCGTCCCCGTCCATCCCGGGCTTCCTCTCCTGTCGTCTCGTGACGGACTAATATCCTCATCCTCATCATCATTTACTCCCCCAAAATATTCACCTTGCTCTGTGAGGGACTTATCCACGCGGTCGAGGTTAAGCGGCCATGAAAGCCGTGGAGTCTCCGCATTACCTCCGCCGCCGGGACTCGCGTCGTCTTCGCGAGCGCCGGTAAACCTGGGGGAGTCCAAATCATATTGGCCGGGAGAGTTCGATTGCCTTTCGGAGGAATTAGAATCATCGTCGTCATCTTCATTGTTGTCCCACGAAGCGTTCCAGAGTTCTGACAAGCGGCGTGGGGCGAGCCGCCTCGAGCGAAATGATGACCCAAACGGTCCTTGAGCTGTAGGCGTCCCTGTACCAGGTCGAACACTTGCACCCATGCCAACCCCTGGCTGTTGTGGGGCGGGAGAGTTCACGGGGGCCATGGGGGACCCTCTGGGCCCAAACAGGAGCTGGTTCCCGGTTGAAGACCGTCTGGTCGGTGCAGAAGATAGCCCGCTTTTGCCCGCCTGTATGGCAAAACTATAAGGTGTGCTCGAAAGGGGCGCCACCATGGACATGGAGCGTGTCTTCCGTCTGGCAAAGGCAGTTTTGATCGGCGGTAGGGGAGGTAGCTCGAGCTCTTCCTCTTCTTTCCCTTCCGAGTCTTGCGAGCTGCTGTTGATACTGAACTGTGAAGCTTGGGACAGAGAGGCACGGCGACTGTGATTGCTTCCCAGCGAGAGTCGATCAAGCTCTCCCGTGGCGATCATCACGCCGGCGATGGCAAGTAGCTTGGGGGAGTACTCTTGCGCTGGAACGTTGTTGAGTGGGCCCGCAGCACCCGTTCGTGTGTCCGAGAAGGGCTCGACATCTTCGCGGTTCAAGCGGCGGCGGCTTCGCGGGTTCCGGATCTTGTGCATGTCCAGCTGTAGTTCACCTGGGCAAACGGACTGGGAGCGCTGAAATATCTTTCTGAAATGGTGATGCGGGCAAGGAACTTGGGGTCCGTCTGTTCGCCTGCGTGGTAGGTCTGGGCGTTCGTCTTCCTCGTCTTCCTCCCTTCCCAGATCTGGGCAAGAGCACATGTCAAGTGACGGTTTGCGACTGTCATTGTTTTGTGCCCGGCCCGGTGAGGACGGTCCTCCGAGGTTGTCATCGGGAGATCTTGAGCTGTCGGGACTCTCCGGGCCAGGGACACCTTCTTTCCATTTGACAAGGCCATCCTGCGTCTGCTAGCCGCTGTTGAAGGCAAATGTTGCCCGTCTCTCTCTACCATTGCTATGAGAAGCGTCAGATGGCGTGCGTCTTCGGGACTTGGGCGATTTGGATGAATTGGGAGTCGAACCACGACGTAATATCGAGCTGAGATAGGGCGTTAAAATACGACGGATGGGTGGTCTATCTTCTTGCGTCTCGGAGCTTTCAGGACGGCTGCTGACAGGACGGCTGCTGAAAGCCCCGTCGGTTCCTGTGCTCTTGGTTCCCCAGACCGTAATCCCCATTGTATCTGTTGTCTGCAGATGGGTAGTACTGGATGTCCACACACAGGTTGCGAGTCGTGCAGACATATCGGACTGTGCGGCTTCATGTTGCCGGATGAGGTAGCGGTCGATGTCAGGGTTGTTGAGACTGGTGGGTGTTTGGGATTTGTGAAACTCGGGCGTGTTTCTCAGGCAGGATCGTAAAAGTTGAACAGCTGCCACGCTTGCTAAACCGCCCACCGCATATGGCGCGTCAGCGGGAGAATCGTTTTCGGACACTGTGCCGCGCCGGGATAGAGTTGAGGGCAATGGAGGTAATGGCCTGAGATAAGGGTGAGACAGTAACGGACTAGGGAGATCCCAAGTTTCGAGCTCGTTCTTGCGAAGGTCGTCGTACATGGTCTCGGTGTTGCGATCTAGGTTTCGCCGGATCCTGATGACCTCCGCATATGTCAAGCCCCCGGGGGAGCATGAGGCGGATACAACAGGGGAGGGAATGTCATCCATTGTGAGGCATCGAGTGGTGAAGCACTGGCTCAAGGGATGTGCAGGCGAGGCTCATAGATGTTCAATATTGATATTCTTCTGAGGAGGCACAGGAAAGAAGACGGAGTGATTGTGGATGTGGTGCCTGGTTTAGGGAAGATTCTCACGCGAGCGGGAATGGTAGAGATCGGGTCAGGGAGGGAGGTTGAATCAAGTGTTTACGAGTACAAGCTCTATGTCCCGGCGCGGTTTCGTAAGTGAACCCCACTCCGGTCCGGACCCTTACTCCTCTGTCCCATCCCGGCCGGGCCTTCCTACCTTATTTTGCCCGTGTTCGCACCCAGCAGATCCTGTTTGCAGGCGCTGATGAGAGGCGGAAGTCACACTGTTGAAAATAGCTTTTTTTTTTCCTTTTTTTTTT